GTGTGTGTGTGTGTGTGTGTGCGTGAACTGAATGGCTGCGTGAATGCTGTACTTGAGTGGTGTACCTGTGTGCCTGTAGGTTTTGTGCCTGAGATATTAAACAGGTTTGCCAAAGTACTTGTTAAAGGACCATCCATTATGATCATGCAGTGTTCCTATGACCTTCATAGAGACATGCACTGAAAAAAGTCAAAGCCCATTTACTGTATAGTGGTTCGGATAAATTTGTTTGAGAAGTGCCTGTATGACATTTCTTTTCTTCTGCCTTTCCCAACAGATGTTATCCATACCGTGGGCCCAGTGGCCAGAGGCTACGTCGGAAAGGCCCAGAAAGAGCTGCTGTCGCAGTGCTACCAGAACTCACTGGCGCTGGTCAAGGAATACGACTTGAGATCTGTGGTAAGTACGGCCGGCCCATCTGTGGTGTCGATGGCTCCAGTGACACATTGCAACAGAGATATTAACCCCGCCTGGGAAGGCGCCTCTCATTGGCTGTGGCCGGGGTTCTCTCTCTCTGCACCTCACTGCCATCGTTGCGCAGTCATTAGAAGGGCAGATGTTTGTTTATACCCAAATTAATGGGATGTTGGGTCGCTTCGACGAAGCCGGACTTCCACTATAAGGCTTGGTTGACAGTTAAGAGCCTTTTTGTGGTTCTGCTGTGTTTTGAGTCATGATACTGTTTTGGAAAAGGTTCCAAGATGGCTGTACTATATGGGAGATGCTGCTAGGTCTGCTATGGTCCGATGATAGATCATTTATAGACTTATCAGCAGGTCATTGATCAACTTCTCTCTGACAGGGCATGTAGCTTTTTTACTTCTTTTTTTATTCTTTCTTTTTCCCTTTCCTTCCCCAACACTTTTTTCCCTCTTAGTCACATTCTGTTGTTGGCATTACATCTCATATCTGAATCATGTCATTCTGTGCCTTGTCTGCAAAATATGAAGAAAAAAAAAAATCACACAGCATTTTAAGACCTTGGAGCAATCTCCGTTTCTCTGTCAAATCTTATTTTTTGGTTTTAGTTTTTCAATATGCCTACTGATGGAGAAACAGTAACCATTTGACAACCTGTTGAAGATCAAAGCAAAACCTTTGTGTGAACCAAATCAAACATATCTTGCTATTCTCCTATAACAAAAGAAGCACAGACCTTATCGGGGATGTTACTGGGTAATACTCAGATCCAGGGTGATCTGACAGTGCTGATACGAGTGACTTTTCCTTCTAAGTCTGTTGGACTGTTTGGCACCCCTAATTAGTTGCCAGCCTGTTGTTATCTTTTGATGTACTTTCTTGAGGGAAAGAGGCTGCAGTAAGTTTGTTGCATCTTTGAACTCTGCAGCACATCTGCAATGTACAATAACATTGGGCATCAGGAGGAGGCTTCTGGTTTTTGTGCAGCCGGCGCTGTGATAAACCAGTAGATCTTTCTTTCTGCAACCATCTTGGCCACACAGTTTCTTCACTGTACGCCATATTTGTATCGAAGTTTAGGTACCAGTCGGTCTACTGCACTGCTGATAACATGATGCTCCTCAGCTCAGTTGTCTTGGGGGATTTCTCCAGATACTGCAGTAGGCTTCCAGGCCTGAGATGCATGCCCTTAGTGGATTTGATCATAGACCATAGGTGCTTACAGGCTAGACGTGTCACAGATTTATGGTGTTGACCCCTCCAACCCTGTACTCGGACACTGCAATCATTCAGGAAGCAAATTAAAGCAGTACGCAATTTACCTGGATGATATCTGAGATAACATCCCACTGGTAAAACTTTTCTGACAGAAAATAGTGGTTACCTTGCAGCGAAGATTAAATATATTCTCAAGTATTTGAAACTCAGTGGGGAACACATTCTGGTTCAAAGTTTACACAATACCTATCTTCATTCTTCCTCAGACCCGCCGTTAGAACAACTTAGTTTCTTTTTTGTATCACATTATTGTGTCTTTTCCCATCCTTCACAATCCAGGCAGTAATGCATAGTGTATATGTACCATTAGCTTTAAGTGAATTTTAAGTGAACTTCTATACAGCAGTTCTAGAATTTTCAGAATCCTTTTTCCTAATGTATGAGAAAATACTAGAATATGCATCATTTGTTTATTGATTAAAATCACAGACGTTTTAGTAAATTTCTGAAGGCTATACGACAGCCAAATGACCTATCACACAGAATTACAGCTATAAATGCATTGAAGTCTTTTTGAAAAGCAAAAATATAGATAGTCAGCTAATATTATTATTAATATTAAGATAGATTATTAGATTTTATTGGGTAAATGAGCTTAAATGTCAAAATTGTCATTTTATTAAAAGCCAAGGCTACTTTTTAAATGTACATTTTCCCATTGGCAATTTTTGAAAATACTGTACATTGTATGCAGTTTGTGAAATCTATATCAAGGCTCTAAATTAGTGAATTCTGCTTTAAAAACAGTATTTACTTTGTTTGCTCTCCTGGCACATCTCTTTTCCTTTTCTGCATTTCAGTTTAATTTAGCAGGGATACAATCAAAGCACGTAGCTACAATGTTCGCTAAAGAGTCAAGTGGTTTTGGTAAAGCTTTACTTAAAAATCTGTTTAAATCTACCCAATTCAGGACCAAATATTTTGACATTCAAAGTTCATTGCGAACTGAGAGTAAACATACCTCATACTGCTGTGTGCAGAAAGTTATCAAAGAGACTTAAATTTAATAAAAAGAAAATATGTTTCCTAGAAGATGTCAATGCAAAGGAGTTTAAATGAAGAACCTTTGCTTTCCACCTGGCTATTAATCAGGAAATGGGACAAATCATTGAATGGAAATATAGGTGGGTGATGGTTAAGTAGGATGTCATTTTGAGATGGTATGGCATGGCAACCAGTTGAATTACACTTATAAGTCATGTTTGATACAAAATGTCTACTAAATCAACAATTATAAATTGCAGTAATAAATGTATAAAATGCCACAACAGGTTATATATTCACTGTAAGGATTTGTGGTAAAATGTAAAGTTCATACAGTATGCAGTGAACAAAGCTGTGCAAATAAGAAAGTTATATAAACATTTATGTTTTTCTTTCTAATTCTTCAACTAGTGTTTTATTAATATATTTCAGACACATTTTAGTGATTTATCCAGTTAGGCTTTTCATTTATTTATTTAATAATTGCCATATTTATAGAATCAGATTTTGTTTTTACTCCACAGCCGATTGCCGTAGCGTTTATTTTTACAGCTGCTACAGATTCAGCAATTCTTCTGAGAAAACAGTGCTGATCTGTGATTGACTAGACCCCAGCAGATGACATCTGACAGTGCGTTTTTGCTATTTAGAATGCCCGTGTCGTTCCCCCCTCCCCCTTTGAAAGGACGGCTTCTCTAGAACCTGGAATGAGACAAAAACGTCTCCAGGGTGTCTGTTCCTCGACAGACGTGGCAGGCATCCCTCTTGCCATTGCGTGCAACGTACCGAACGCCATCTTCCAGGCTCTCCTAGACAGATTAGCGCTGAGCTGGCTGGATAGCAGCAGCTTTGTGTTCTGCATAGCTAGGCATTGACATGTGTAAAGATGAAGGGGGAGGGGGGAGGGGTATGCTGTGTAGGGTAGCTTTTTGGTTGGTGTGTAGACGGGCTGTATTTTCAAACATGAACAGACAGCTTTATAATAGCTTTCACAGGCACTGAAATGGGATGTGCGTCAAAAACTGTAAACACAAAACAAATATGAGAATAGCATATTAAAATATAACCAGTACGACCAACTAATATCTATTCTTTGAAGACTGGGCCAGCTCTATAAAATAAAAAAAGAAATGTGTATACGTCTTGCACTGTTCATTTGAGCTCAAGGCTGATAAAATCAACATGAATAATGCTTATAGATGCATGCAGAACTCTGTTAGACCTTAAAATGTAAATCTGAAAAATTTAGCTCTGTCGTTTTGTCATCTGGTTAAACATATTGGTCTCTCTGATTGTTCCATTTCAGGGCCCTACAGTGACAGAAGTTCTATATTCAAATAGACTAATAGATTAAATAGCTGCCAAGGTGTTTACACTGTTTGTTTTGGCTGCTTCTTAAACTTCAATTAAATTACAATTTTACTTGCAAATTGTCCAAGGTTTTATCTTTCAGCGCTACATAGTCACCATCTCTTTATATTGTTGTTTATTTAATAGCCAGCTGAGGATTTCTCGGTTTTGCGCTTCCTTCTGACCTCATGGAAGAGGCCACGTTGCTCAGTAGACTTCAGCTGCTTTTTCATCGCTGTTCTTCCTGAGATTTACCTGACTGCAGTGTCTCGGTTGACATCTAGTGGTCTGGTGAGCCACTGTTGGATTTTCAGGCAGCCCGGGTTTCATAACACGGACGTCTTGTTACATCACTTTAAATATCCCTTCTAAAGTGAGGTCGTGACATTTCAAAGCCTGTGAAAAGAGAGCTCAGTTTGCGAAAGTGGGAAAACCAAACAAAGCAGAGACAAGGTGAAACCAAAGCCCAGAGAGGACTAAGCTGATGGATGGGCTTCAGATGAAAAATGACGAGAAGCCCCAAGCCAAGAAACGATTCATTGAACTTCAGAACTCAGCACGGAGCACTTTGAAAAGCAGCGACGGTTAACTCATTGCTAAGTGTGGGACACTCTACTATTTTTTTCCCCAAGGCTGTGTTGAAACCCAGGATGTTTGTTGCCGAGATAGTGTGACCATGGATCCTCTAGGACAGGGAGAAGGGAAGGTCGGCCGTAATGACTTTTCGCTAGGCCCAGTCCAGTCCGTGCTGTAGTTTATGGATCCGATGCCAAACAGACATCATGAAGTGGGATGACTGTTGAAGTGAATGGTTTGTGGGTCTGCCGTAAGGCAGAACAATCCCGGGAGCCAGCGGTGCCTTCATGGGAGTATAACAGAGGATGCAATTTCCAACAACGGCCTTGGAAATCCTCATTTATTTGTTTTTAATTTGTTATGCTCCGTTGGGAGGCTCTGGAGGAAGGTGACTCGAGTCTTGACTCGTATTTGTCACTGAACAGCAATGCCAGCTACGATCACCGTGGTGCTTGGCAGTTCCAGCTGACTGTCTGCATTCATTTGAGCCTGGATGTATTGATTGCTCTCATTTCAGAAACCATGACACACAGAGAGGGCCTCCGTTGATGGACCATTTGGAATCACTTGGACTGGTCGGCAAACTTAATGTCCTGCAGCCTCCCTCCGCTGACGAGAGAGTATAGAATGCAATGCATCACTGTCAGAGACATCAAACAAAGTCTGCGGCAATGAGCCTGATGAGTTAAACCCCTGCACTGGAGAAGCAGGGGTCTGAAATTCTCAATTACCCCCTTATTTATGAGCTGCGGTCACAGCAATATGTGATCATAACAATGAATGTTGATTTG